TTTTTAAGACTGCACCGTGCAGACCACACAATGCAGCTTTATTTCATAAAAAGCGGCTGGGGTTTTATTTTGTTGTTGTTGTCGTCGGTGTCAGCTGGCATTACCATTGTTCTACCTTAACAGGGATACTGCAGCGCTGTACTCGATTCTGCACCTATTAACCTGATTTCTGACCAATGGTAGCAGGAAAAATAAAATAGATGGGTTTCATATGAAAATGAAACAACATACCTACTCAGAATACACTTGTCATCCTCTGAACATTCTTCTTTTGAGCTGCAACAATACAAATGGGATATAAACCTCAGCATAGCCTTAGGCCACAGCTAATAGAGATCAGTGACTAAATTCGGCAGCCCGCTTTCCTCCCGCACAAGCTCTGGCCACACAATAAAAGAATGCCATTATGGGAAAAGCCCGTTTAAAAAATGCCAGTCTCTCTGTTTTCCAGTTAGAAGAAGGCAAAATGTAAGAACAAGTATAAACTGCTGCAGCACTCTGCACGCTCTTCTAGCGGCTTCTGATTCAAGTTGCTCTCCTTTCCCTATTCTTATTTCCAAGCCGGGATGAGCAGAATCTCATCCGTTTTCAACATGCTGTGGTAACACGAATATCACTCTGTCTTCTGCAGCAGAGAAGTACAGAGTGGCGTGCTCTTAATAGCAGTCCTCGGAGGGACGCTATCAACAATCTAATTCAATGCTGCCCTCCCCTTCTTCTCTCCCCCTTTCCCCTCCCGTTCAGCCCCCTCCCTCCTCCCCCACCCCCAAACAGCTCACAAATTGCCTAGAGGAGAGACCAATGCTGCTGGCCAAGCAGGTGTCCAGCAGGGACCATTCCAAAGCTCAGCGGCGGGTCCGGTAACCTCTAGGGGTTAGCGACTGACAAGGAGATTGAAAAATTCAAGCTGCTGTCAAAGGCAACTTGAGGTATTTCATGAAAGCAGCGGCAAATATACGGTTCATCCATATCATTTTAGAATACTGCCAGAAAACAGCCTTGTAAGTAACCCGAAAGTGACGGGGTGTTGTAAGTTTCTGTTTAAAGCAGCAATCTCACACATTTTCTACACAATTCTAAGAAGTGAAAATAGGAGAGGCTGGTATTATGCTGAACTCTTTATTTATGGGCTGAAGAATTTCACCTCTGATGTCGGCGAGTCGCCATCACTAACCATCTACCTTCATAGCACCCTTCTACATCTGCCTAAAAACAGAATTATCTTGCCTTCACCAGTGCAAGCTTAGTAAAAGCAGACTGCGCTTGACACGGAAGCCACTACCTTTGAAAAAAAAGCACTGCAGTGACAAACAGCTCATATTTACTTTCAAGTCTGTATGCAAAAAATAAACTTGTGCTTCTAACTTGAGTAGCTGGCTTTCGGATACTCCTTCCAAATTGTTCCTAGTTTTTAAAAGACGGAGATTTAGTCCCTTAAGAGGTTTCTCATTTGTATTCAAAAAGCACAGATGAATGTTACCATAGGAAGCAACCACCTTCAAAAATTCCACAATACAGAATTTAATATACCAGAAATACAGTGTGAAATTAGCTCCAGGTAATCACCAATACCTTCCTTTAAGATACACGTCAATATTCAGGCAAAGAGTATTTTCCTATGAAAACCACCCATACGTGTGGCAGTGTATACACACGCTGCATGCATACATACATCTATGGAGAGAAAGCTTATTTTGAAAGATTGACCAGTAACGCATAAACTTTATTAAACAGTAGGTAGATGTCAGCCATCACTAACTCACAAATAATTTTTATTCAATCGACCATACACAAGCACCCCCCAAAAACCCAGGCAAGCAACTTAAAAAGTTAAATTATAATTCTCTTTTTAGTACCCACACACAAAACTGTCTCATAAAAATCTTCAAAGGAATCAGAGAAAGGAGTATTTATCAATACCCTAAGGAGCAAAATACATTTAAAAGGTTAAAAAAAAAGCACCACTAATACAAATAAACCATAGTCAATATTTTACACTAGAAGGCTTTATGTAATAACTCTTAATAGTTATGGAGCAAAAAGGTCCCAGGTACAACAATCAGCCTTGCCAACTTGTTGGAAACCCTCAGAATAAAATACACACGCGCGCGCGTGCGCTCATCAAGCAAGTTTGGATGTCCCATTCCAAAAACGTGAAGCATTCTCAAACATTTCCAAATATAAAACATAAAACAGCTACAAATTAGCTGTATGTAGCAAGGAGGTGGTATTTTAGAAAGGAAATTCAACCACTTTCCAGCTTATGAAAATATTACAAAGCAGTAATTGCAAATACAACTTCTGAGAACAAAGACCCCCAAACCTACATAAAAACATGGTTAGTAAAGTGTTGCGAGCAGTCTATAAAGTCGACTCAAAATTTATGAGTGGGATATAGAGTAAATGTGGAGTTTTTGAGATCTCCCAGGGGGTAACCCCCACAAACAGGTGAAGATCACTTCATTGCAAAGGTTCTCCAGTTATTACTCTTTGTGAACAATCAATGTATTCAAAAAACCCACATAATCTTTGTCTAACTTCAGGCTCCAAAGAAATCAACCAGTAGCACCAAATCTTCTATGTCAATTGCCTGTCTAGGTTTCTCTTAGACTTAACGTTTACAACCTGTTTTGGGGGCCCTCGAACAATTGTCATATTTGCCCAAAGTGAAAAGAAAATAAGACTGCTTTCCCTCCACACCACCCTCAGCACTGGTAAAGACCCCAAAACCCTAAATAAAAGCTTACATCCGATGATGACCATTTATTTCTATTCAGTTCTCCCCGCTTTAACAAATTGCTAGGAGTCATTTTTAATTATCTCTCACGAGCAAACAACTAATATGCCAAAGGCTTTAAAAATAATTCCTTTACGTAGAAATACGGGCCATGAAATCTACTTTACACTATTAATTTGCCTAACAACAACGCTCCTCATACATCGTTTAGAAATAAACTGCAGCCAGGTAAAATCACGCCAATTACAAATTAGCAGAGTCCAAATTAATCAGATTTTACTACCCTGACGACGACTCTGGTAGCAAATATTGAGCGTAATCACCATTACATTCTGGACCTGAAAATGTTTTCACCTCCAGAGTGAAAGGGAGAAAATGATTAAATGTATATTTTAAATAGAATTTTATGCTGGGAAATGTCAAAAACGCTCGTTGACTTCATATGAAACACTGATTTCATTTACAGAACACTTGGTTTCTATTAGGGACCAATGCATAAAAGAGGACAGAAAGACAACATACACAAAAACTCTTCAAAGCATCTGAGGAACATTAGCTAATCACTTGAAAATACCTGTGAAAAGCGTATTTCAGAGATGTCATAAACAAAGGACGATGCTGGGACTTGGCCAAGGCCACAAAAAGAGGCATCCTTGGCCAAATCTTACAATGCAGAATTCCCTGTTTCCCCACGTAGAAAGAGGAGATATTTTATACAACTTTTAGAATTCTTACAAATCATCTTGCTCAGAACCCTCATTGTACAGATGAAAGACCTGAAGCTCAGAGATGTGAACTTGCCCAATTTCACCCTGCTAGCTAGCAGCAGGACTGGGGCTAGGAACCAGGTTTCCATCTGCTAGTCTGGGACTCGCACTCTAGAACCTCTACTGTCCCTCCTTCTTGATGAGACCTTTCCTGAAGACGTGTGTTTCTCTGTGACGCGAACCACATTCTGTAAGTACCTCCGTGTGTTCTAAATAAACAAGAATGACCAAGAGCTATTTATTCCTCCAATGATATGTACGCTCAAAGATAGAAGTGGGAGACAGACACCAAAAATACAAAAGTGTGTGCACAGACCATTCACAAAATCTTCGTTCCAGAAGGTGTTTAAGTACGATGAGGGAGAAAAAGGCAGATGAGAATTTAGCCAGTCACAGTATGGGAGAGAAGTGAAATACACAGCTAGGAGGGGGAATTTTTTTTTTCTAAACATAAATGTTTCTAAATAACTTTACAGAAACATTGAACTCACTGGCTGACAGTGATGGGTCTTCCGTCCCACCACCCCATGCAATGAACTGACTGATAATGTCACCTATCTGACCTCTCTCTCTCTCCATATTTTCAGGATATTCCCTCAGAACTGACCTACCTTCTTGCAAGTTTTGGTGAATCCTGTGGCAGGTACAACTACAGACTAAGAGCATTGACCATGGTTTGTGTGAGCAGGCACCGTATAATCTTCTCTTTGGTCCTGACAATGTCTCCTCAGACTAATGGGGGCTGGCCATGTTATTCGTGTTGCCCAGACAAGACTGTAGATCAGCCAAACTGTGTGGTCTGTTAAGTTCTACCAATCAGTAAGAGTATTTGGATGGTGACCAAGTAGGGCTGTTAAACCTTTTAAAGCACACAAAAACTTGACTTCTGCACACCAGAGCAAAACTCTTAATACATTCAGGGCTCCTTATTACAGAAAACAGAACCGTTCACATGAATGGCTACATACACATGTGTGCACGCGCGCACCTCATTTCCTTTACTTCTTTCAGGAAACTGAATATCAATGACATTAAAAAATTTTTACCGGATACTCAGATATGTAGCCTTGCTAAAATCAAAACGGAAAATCCCAGATGTCTCTCAAAGACGACTATGCTGGAAAGTCATAATTTCATCTTCTATAAGTACCCTTCTCACATGTCAATTTCCTTTGCAGAGCCGGGTGGGTACTTCCAGTCCCACGGAGGATTTACATCTCTTGGCTCTGTCTCGGATTAATACAGTACCTATCTCCTTCCTCACAATGCAAACAAGTGTGTACCTGCACAGTTGTGTTTGTGTACTTGTGGCAGGAGTGAAGCGTAAGGGAAGCACTCTTTCCATCTCTAACATTTCCAAAAGAGAGGAAGGATACTGAGTTTTGGGGGGGAGGAGGGATAGAACAGCAATAAGTGGGGCTGGTAGGCAGGCAAGCCAGGAAACAGTAGGAAAAGGGACAAAAGGGGAAAACGGAAAGGGTAAGGAGGGGAATGACGGGAAGGAAGAATGAAGAGCCAAGAATGGGAGTGGTCCCCGTATGTGGCAACTTTTGTAATTGGGGCTCAGATGGATGAGGTTCTGGGGATAAGACGAGTTGGGGTAGGAGAGCAAATCCAGAGGGACTGAGCAGGTAACAAGAAAGGTCCAACCGTTGGGGCACCAATGACCCACAGCTTCTGCCTACCCTTACTCTCTCACTACAGCTGAAAACAGGATTAGCACTGAATGAGAAATTTAGAAGTTCTTGCCTTTTCTTCTTTCGTTTCCTGGAGTATCTACATTCTAGTAAAATCTGTAAGCTTTTTTTGTTCTTGGCTACCCCGGGGTGCCTCATTTGTATAGGATTCCCAAATCCACACGCCCAAGTAAGTCTTTATACAACTCTGACATGCACAAACTGAATTAATCCTTAAGTATTCCCATCTATTAAAAACTGCCTTAGGGGCACCTGGGAGTCTCAGCCCGACTCTCGATTGTTCTCAGGGTCATGAGATTGAGCCCCGCGTTGGGCTCCATGCCGGGTGTGGAGCCTGCTTAAGATTCTCTCTCTCTCCCTCTCCCTCTGATCCTCCCTCCCCCCATGTGTGCGCACCTTCTCTCTCTCTCTCAAAACAAAACACCTGCCTTAAACTCCAAACCAAAGTGTTTGTATGTGTTGGGAGTGGTGGTGGTAGAAAAAAAATGATTTTTAAATATATAATATTTGCACAGC